GTTATTTATATAATTCACGAAATACCACCACAGCGAACGTTATTTATATAATTCACGAAATTCCACCACAGTTAATACACTAACAGTACTATCAAAAAAAATCAGCCCGTGCATTTGCACGGGCAAAGACTAGTATGTGAAAAAAGGCCAAAATTTTCAAACCTACTGAACGAGTTTTCAACCTAAAAGATCGACTTCTATTTTAATAAATTTATTTGGGTATTTGCATTGCTTGGTTAGGCATATAATTGTTAGTTGAATGGTTGAAATTTGATTGTGATCTCGTTTTAAAAACACGAGGAAGGAAATGATTCATTTCATTGTGTGTATTATTTTAAACACGTTTCCGAAAACAAATCACTTTCAAACAGAGGCTAAACAAATCTAATCCTCGAACAAAAAGTAAAAATTCTGCTTTGCACCGATGACACTTGCTACCATACACGAAGTAAAAGCAACCGAGGATGCTTGGCCACCTGAACTGAAAGTGAGCTTCTGGCCATTAGTTTTGAGAACTAAATAGTAAGCACTAGACATTTCAAGGGACAACAACTTTTCAACCACAAGTTTCATCAACTTTTATCAAAATATACTAAAAATCCGATTTTTATCTAAACCAAATTGGGGCCAAGTATGGTCAGCAGATAATTTTGCAGGATGGAGAGTAGTAAATTCCAAAAGTTAATGACATGAATGTAACAAAATTACAACCTTCAGAATTTCAGTTAAAACCAGACTATATGCATCCATCTAAAGTTCTTCTCTTAAATATCCAGGACCTGGCTTGAAGGAGTCTGATTCCAGGTATGCCTCTGGACGATAAAATCCAGCATCATTCATACGATTACTGAGGACATGAAGGATCGCTTTCTTTGCACCATACTCATCACGGTTGTTCTCAACGTACTGCTTGGCCTCAGCAGCCACTTCGTTTACAAAGTCGAACCTGTTGTCTTCTGACAATAATAGCCTATGAATGTCCATTGTTAAGAGCTTTCCCCCTTCTCTTATCTTCCTTACCTGCTCCTCAAGAAAAGGAATTCTTTCCATCTTGTAGTCCAACATATCATCTTTCTTGACCTGAAACGAAAATTAAAAGGGGTAGGCACAGTTTTATGCCCATATAACGAGATCTGATGTTGGCTAAAATGGGAAAAAAGCACAGGGGAAATTTTCAAATTATGAGATCTCTTGAAGAAAATTGTTATAAATTCGAGAGCGTGTTCATAATAAAATCCAGGCATCTGGTGATACAGGAGGTTCACTTCCACAGCAAAGACCTGAGTTTGGAAAAGATAGATAAGGGGTTTGATTGGGTTGCTTTCTTCCTATTTTCATTTTTTATATACAGTGTTTGAGAGAAATTGTTTAAAGTGAAAATCGATTTTTTTTGGAGAATGTGTGATTATAAAGTAGGGAAAAGTTATAGGTTCACGTGCAAAATTATTTTATTGATAGAATTTGTGATTGAAAGTGAGTCCGAGGAAAAAACGATTTTTAAATAAGCGGTGCCAAAGAAATGCCAAATGTATTTTCCTTTTACAAAATAATAGAATATACCCATTGTCTCATTGAGATTTGGAAGCTACTGTTCATCCTTTTACTTTGTTCTTCTGGAATTGGTTCCCTATTCCAATTCCCAATAGTTTTCGAGTTCTACATTATTTGGTATAGGTCCATGGGACATCAAAGCACGAAACCATCAAACAAAGTTCCACAATTCCAAACTCATTCTACATGAGCATCCAAGTCTTCAATCATTTGATATAATTCAATATGTATGTTTATCCTTCATCATGTTTCTGAATCTGAAGTTTCAATGGAAACTCTACCGATGCATTAAGTATGGTGGACGAGCATATCTCTTTAGTATGCTCAAATGCAGGATTTAATGATCATGGATGAATCCTCCTTTTCGTGTCAAAAAGTCCTATGTCAAGTTTACACTAATAAGGCTCCTAAAGGCAAGCGTTCTCACTCAAATAGTTTCAGAATTTAATGGACGACTTGAAAGATAAAGCTTTTATCACTTCCATAAGAAGGACTACCAAAAAGCTGTTATATATCTAACCTGTATACTGGAGAATCAAGGCCAAATTTGGAATGTTGAAACTATGTTCTGAGGTTTTAACTTATAATATGTTGGAAAAATATACTTATGTGCCAATCTGAAATCTTCAACCAGTGTGACCACAACTTCTGCACTACTTTTTTTGCTGACAACGTCGATGTAGAATTAACTAGGAGGAAGGGGGGAAAAAAGAGAACGAAAAGGAAAATAATCATCTACCATTTTCTCTTCAAACAAGTCTAGAATACGGAAGATTTCAAAGCAATCAAATCAAAAGATGTAAAAGCAAAAAGAGAATACATCCACATTTCAAAATTTTCTCCCTATTACTCATATTATCATTAACTCATGAATCCTTCAATATCAAAACACACAGAAGAGATATCCATTAACTTCATCTTTCTTCTTTATCTTGTGAACAAAGCAATAACAAATTTCCTTGACTATAGTTTTGCGTGTTCTTCTAAGCCTAAATATGATCGGAAAACTTAATCTTTTCTTAATTGAGTTAAAAAGGCTACTTTTCCAGAAATTAGAAACTTGCATATTTCTAATATATTCTTTCATATTCCACCATTAATAAATTTATTTTAAAACTTACTTATGAGTCAGTTTAGAGCATTTCAAAGATACTCTCTAAATATAAGAGGTTCTTCCCATGCTTAAAACTCTATTATAACTTCTAAAAATAAACAATGGTCAGGCTCTTCAAATTCTCTATTCTTACTGTATAACAGTAAAAAATTTAAGCTTAGCCAAACGCAATCAATTCTTTCACTAATCAACAAGTAATTCCTAAGCGAATCACAATATTTTCGAAATCAATATCAGAACCTATTTGCATAATTGGACTGAAGTGTAATATATACACAAAAACAAGCAATTGGGTATTCAAATTGTACCAACTTTCTCCGCCTCCAGACCTTCCTGTAACTTCCACCTGAGTTTCGCGAGCTTGAACTGTCCTATTAATCAAATAAAAAATAAAATCATTAATTAATTTCATAGAGTAAAAAATAAAACAATTCGAAATAAACAGCCCACTGTACAACACAGTATCTCACCTGTGACTTTATAGCACAGTTCAAATGCCATTGTTTCACAGTTTTCACTTCAATTCGCTGCATATAGAGTGGCATAAGCAATTAAAAACTCGTAACGAAAAAACTGCAGTAACTAATTTGGAGCTAAAAAAAGTTTGTTCATTAATTGTTTTTTCTTAATTTTAAAATAACTAGAAATTACACGTGAATAGTGTGCAGATGAAAAGCCAGTGAACGTGGGTGAAAAGGCAGCCATTGAACAGTTGATTGAGCTCTACATTATCATCAGATCAGATGATTTAACAGAGGCAGTAGGATGGTTAATGGGCCCAGTGTACAATATGTGCTTGGTCCACGAATTAGTTCCTATTTAGGCCCATGTTGAATTGATGATGACTTGTTGGTTAAGTGGTGTATAAACTATTTTTTTTCTGTTCTTTTCTTAATCAAAATATTTCATCAAAATTGATTTAGATATCTTATGGTGTGCGAGATTAGACTCGAATGCATCAAATGAGAATCATCTCGAGCTCGAATTGATGCTTAGTTAGCGTTAGACAATACTATCTTCTTACTTTTTGCCAATTTTACTATTAAGACAAAATAAATACTAATTTCTCTAAACAATCATTTCTAATTCTAATTTTCAAAATCAACAAACTTGTAGTTCGTTTTAAGAAAGAATAGCAGCAATAGTCCCTAAACTTTCACACTATGAGCATTTTTTGGGGGGGTGGGGGTGGGGGGTCTAGCAGCTACTAAAAGAGCAATCGTAATCTCAAGTCTTCATTTTTGGCAATTGAGGTCCTTCTTGATTAGGTATTGCAAATTTTCCAACCGTCTTCTCCCACATTGTTCCTATCCAAATTGGATAGGGAATCTCCATCCTGAATAGTAAATGGGGGCAAGGAGAGGATCATGATCCCCTTCCCGAATTTTTCAAATCCACCCCGAATTGTTTTATTTTAATTTATTTTATTTATTTCAATTTAAGTCATATTTAAAAAACAACAATAGTATCAAAAAAATTATTAAATGAACGCTAAATGAGAATTTTTTTAATCATCATCTCGCCTAGCTATTGCCATGTCTGATAATGGCTACCCCCACATATTCGTCATCTTATTCTTGATGAAAAGTGTCCAATGAACTGTCAAATTACACACGAAGTACGAAGTCTATAATTTTATGACAAAATCATTAAGAAACCTCTAGGTGAACAAAAATATAAGAAAATATTGTTTGAAAAACTCGTGATGATTTTGCCTAAGAAATTATGAACTCCATGCAGTTCAAGTATTAATGTGACGATTTTGTAGATGATTTATGCACAAAAGGATATTGGCTTTCAAAAAATCTAAGAAGTCGAGAATGGGGTTGCTCCTCTTATTAGTATAGAGATAAATGTTTGTCATGTGAAATGTCAGGGACCTCGGCTACTATTTTCTCTTTTAAAGACTGAATAAACGACGCCGTATTTGACAACTGTGCACGAAAATCATTACGTGTAAACGTGTAAAACTCCCACCTGACATCATTTTCTACGAAATAAGACCTCATTAATCATAGATACAACAACGTTGCAAGTATAGGTTTATACGGTAATACTTGACAAAATCTCAATATATTCAAGAATCACTGGGTACTTGCTGCTTTGCTCAAAGCTTAAAGCCCAAAAATTTCTCTGCTTAAAGCTTTCCCCGACTCAGTTTTAGTAACATCTTCTGAGCAAAATAAGAACAATTCTGTGAATAGCGAAAAAGCACAGAGAATCTGTCAAAACTGTGGTTTCCGAAAAACCCTAATTGTGTTGTTCTTGTAATGCTTAATCTCGAATCTGTTTAGATAAAATTTGTGGGTTAGTTGAAATTTGAGGAGATTGGACTGAATCGGATGGAGAGATCGAGATCTAAGAGGTTTTATTATGACCAGGACTATGATTCCGAAACCTTACACTCGAGAACGAAACCACGGTACAGTGGCGGCGGAGTGGGAGGAGGACAACATTTTGTTTCTGGTAACCACCGCCGATCTGTTGGGGGAGGTGGGAGTGGGGGTGGTGGCGGCGGCGGCGGCGGACGGAAAATGCAGGACCTTTCTTTGATGGTAACCACCAGCTATAGAATTCTTTGCCACGATTTAAAGGCTGGGGGTGTTATTGGAAAATCAGGGAGCATTATAAAGGCCATTAGGCAGCATACTGGGGCGTGGATTAATGTGCACGAGCTGATTCCTGGTGATGAAGAGAGAATTATTGAGATTTCTGATACAAGGAGACGGGACCCTGATGGCCGGATGCCTGCATTCTCGCCTGCTCAAGAGGCATTGTACTTGATTCATGAGCGCATTTTGGAGAACGATGTTGGAGGGTTTAAACATAATGTGGGGTTTGCGGATGATCCAAATGACGAGTATGGGCTTAGGGGTGGTGGTGGTGGAGGGAATGGTAATAATGGTAACCGGGTGGTGACGAGATTGGTAGTGTCGCGAATGCATGTGGGGTCGTTGCTTGGAAAAGGTGGGAAGATAATTGAACAAATGAGGATTGAGACTAAGACACACATTAGGATTTTACCCCGAGATCACACATTGCCACGTTGCATCGCAATGTCAGAAGAGATTGTTCAGGTTCTTGATTCTCGTTACATTTGGAGCTTTGCTTGTTTATTTTGCATCCCGGTTGGAAAGTCTTTTAGCTGTGGTAAATAGAGGATTATATCGAGTTGATATGACACTTGGCTTTTGAACTCCAAGAATGACCTAAACTGAGCTATGATTTTTGAAGTTGCAGTTACACTTTTAAAACTTAAATATTTTGGAATTCTTATATTTTTCCAGTTGAGCGATAATCATATGGTATTACAAGCATGAGCAGATTATGATATGAGCACAAATACCTAATGCAAAATTGTTAAAGATTGTACAATGATCTTGTTTTAAAATGTGGTCTGTGGTTCATCTCTATAGGATGAGCAGCGTGGCTTGTTGACACTTGACAATGATGAAATTGTTGATAGTTATGAATGTAGTTCATGTGGTTAGAAGCAAACATTAAATGTTTGGACTCATTAAGTTTATGAATAGAAAGAATATAGAAGCATGAACATCCGTTTATGATAAACATATAGCTTTGATTACTAGGATCAATTCTCAACTACTCGTTTTATGTTGTAATGTTAGGCTACTAGCATGTTCTTCAGTTATATTCATTTAGTGACTTTCTGAGCTTGAAGTTGGATTTTGTCGTTCAAAATTCTATTCATCTTGAAGCTATGCACCTCTGATGTAATTTTGGATATTTCTCAGCTAAGAAAGAGGAGAAAGTGCACCTGCCCATTACTGTCGTGCCTCTAAGTGAGAGCCCAAGTTATTCATGATAAATATTGTTAAACTCATACTTTCTGGTCTATATGCTTTTGTGGATCGCCGAATATAAGAGATGTATATTGCTGAAGTAACTCTCTAAAGAGCATGTTTGTACATGTTACTTCTTGTAACTTAAAAAAGTTGATTAGATACTAAGGTTTGACTTACTTTCGAAATTAGTATCTTACTTATATTCAAATCAGTTAGAGGATTAAATACTTTAAAACTTACTTAATTGTAAGTAAATTTCGTGAGCTTAAGCAAACATGCACAAAATAGTCATTGGTATTCATTCATAAGAGCATCTTCAAGAGACTCTTTGAACATAAGACGCTCTCTATTTTAAAGAATCAACTCTTAAAATTATGTTTCAAGAGACTCTTTAAATTAAAATTTTAATTTAGGGGGAGCCAAACTCATTCTATATAATTAAACGCATTCAAAGTATTTCAATTTTTAATGAAAGAAAATAATATAATAATTCGGAGGGAAGCTAGTGCAAATAAAAGATAGGGAAAAACAATAAATATTTTTTGAGAGTAGTAAAATTAAGTGTCATATATAAAGATTATGTTGGATTACTTAAAAAAATTCTTTCTAAATTTATAGATACTCTCTAAATTGTAGAATATGCCCTTTAAAAATAAAGAATCTCTTGGAGATGCTCTAAGTGAATAATTGAATTTGTTCTATAAGATCATGAACTTAAATCATTTTGCTAAATGGTGGAAAATTCATAATAAATGTACTCTCTTTGTATAGAAAGAACTTTCTTAGCGCTTCTTTGATATGAGAAGTGATTCTTTGGAAAGTGTGATTTTCTATTTTTTTTTTTTTGTTGAATATGTGATTAAAAAAGTAGTGAAAAGTTATGGAGAAACGTGAGAAGTGAATTATTTTTTTGGAGAATGTGTGGTAGAGAATGAGTGTGGGAGAGAAGTGATTCTCTAAGAATGAAAATCAAACAAGGGCTTGATTTGATTGCAGGCACTGAGGTATTTGTTCTCTCATTTTCAGGTTGTTGGTGATATGAATGCTGTAAAGAATGCTGTAGCAATTATTTCTTCACGCTTAAGAGAGAGTCAACATCGTGATAGAGGCCATTTTCATAATCGGCTACATTCGCCTGAGCGTTTCTTTCCTCCAGATGATAATTTTATTTCTATTAACTCTACATCAAGAAAATCATCTGTGGAAGGACCAAGTTATGGATCAAGGATTCCTGCTGGTTCCAGGAGCAATAACTATTCTTCGCATTCATCTGGATATCTTACTGAATCTGTCCCTGAATCTGTGGCTGACAATGCGCAAGCTTTCTCTAGTGAAGATCTCGTGTTTCGAATACTTTGCCCAGTTGCCAAGGTTGATAGTGTTGTTGGGGAGTCAAATGGGTTTATGGAGTTGCTTCAAGAAGAAATAGGTGTGGATGTTAAGGTTACAGATCAAGTTGCTGGCACGAACGAACACATAATTATCATTTCGTCTGAGGAGGTACATTTCCTTATCTCTTAGCCCAGGTTGGTTGAGTCTAACAGTTGTGAGGAGGAGGGGATTAGAAGCGGAAGTAAAGGCTAAATGTCACCTTGTTCAGTTTTGGTGAGAAAAGAGCGAGGAAGTAAAAGTGAAGTACCAATCCTTCTGGGTCAGTTTTACTTCCCCTCCCAAATTGGAGGAAAAGGTGTTAAAAGTAGTGAAAAGTCTAATCTGGCCCCAATTCAATATACTGGCTAAGAGCATCTTTTAAGCTTAGCCAAACATGCTCTAAATTATATAAAAATAATTCTATCTTCTCCATGTCCCCTCTCCTTTCTTGTGCTAGATAGAGTTGAGTTGAAAAAGTAACTTTCTTTAGGTAGGCATAAGTTGCATTAATTATTCTTCTAGCCTTCTTGGATTTCTATATTTTTGTTCAATTTTTTCTTAAAATTTGAATATCTTATTGCATATTTGTTCTGGATCAGGATTTGTCTCGCATTTTGCATTTACCACAAGGCCTTAATACTTTATTTATATATGTTTCTTAGGGCCCTGATGATGAGCTGTTCCCTGCTCAAGAAGCTTTATTGCATATTCAAACACGCATTGTCGACCTCGTCCCAGAAAAAGATAACATTATCACCACTAGGTTACTTTTGCAGTCAGATGAAATTGGATGCTTAGGGTTAACAGATGGATCGTTTCCTGAGATGAGGAAAATAACCGGTGCAAACATACACGTCTTGCCCATGGAAGAACATCCAGCATATGTATCAAAGACTGATGGAATTTTACAGGTTTGCCAGTTTATATACTTGTGAGTCTAGAAGTCTCATATTCATTTAATACACGCGTGCTTCTGTGACTTTCTATGGTACTTTTTTGGTGATCCAAAGCATAAGGTACTCTCTGCAGTATCATACGAATCATAAGAAACGAGAGCTTGATTGATTCCAGGCATGCTTGGGTGTGCTTAAAAATTACTTTTCTATGTCAAACTTAGTATCTAGGTTTTGATAGTTAACTTTGGAAATCATCTTTGGGTAAAATAAGCGAGTTCAAAGTGACTTTGAGATTTGTTGTAAGCTTAGCCAAACATGCAGTAAGATGATTTTGGCATTTCTTAACTTCCACTTTTGTGCACAGATTGTTGGGGAGATCAAAGCTGCTCGAGAGGCTTTAGTCGAGGTAACATCAAAGCTAAGGAGTTACATTTTTCGAGAATTCCTTGAACTGGATGCTCCAACTCCCATTTCTGCTCCTAACCCTGCGGAGGTGGAACACAAGGCAACTTCTAGCAACAGCATTACTCAATGTCCAGAAATTCGTTCCGGATATAGTCCAACCAAATCAACTCATCAGAGTACACCAACTTTAGTAACGGAACAGCAACCAAAAGTAAGTAATTTAGTATGCTTCTTTCTTCTGAAGCCCCACTGTTTTTGCTGTTGCTGCTGCTGCTATTACTATATCTTGAATGCCTCTTATTTTAAAATTTTCAGCGAACAATAATTTCCAGTCCATCCTTTCTCTTTTATGCATGTAGCCAGATATTCAATCATTCCAAAGCATTTGTTTCACAAATATGATTTTTCTTACAAAGTTTCCAATTGGGTTAAATACACCTGTTAGTGAAATTTCATGTTGGTCCTTTCATTTCATTTTGTTTCAAGTTGTTCATTAAACTTTTTCTGTTATAATTTGTGGCACTTCATCCATGTGTTTTCGTCTGACTATTGGAAAAAGTGACATGGCCGTCTACTCATTTGCCAACTAGATTGCTAGGTCAACTTTTCAGTTAGTCAAATCATCAGGCATAGACTAAATGATCAAGTTGTAACAAATGTTTAAATTCAGTGACCAACTCCCAACTAAATGAAGTTTAGTGATGAAAATTCTCTGACCACCAGTGTTTTTAACCTGTTTCCAATTTCTATAATGTCAACTTGTCCAGTGAGGTGGGTGATGGATGTGGCTGACTGGGTTCCTTAGGCATGGACTTTGTTTGGATTCTTATGTCTTACAATCACCCAATTTCATTGCTCCTCATTTTCACATTTTAAAACTGTCTACTTTATTTGCAGGATGTGGGGCCCTCGGGTATTGAAACGGTAAAGCAAAATGGAAGTGAACGTCGTGAAGATATTCCCAATATATTGAATAGGTAGTGAACTTTTGTTCATTTTTCTTAGGGTGGAATTTCATGTTAATATCATTTCATAGTCATTGTGCATTCGTTTTCTTTTCCCCAGAATCTCTGTACCACTCGTTACCAGAAGTACACTGGAAATTGTTATAACCCCAAATGTGGCATCCAAACTCGTAACAAAATCAAGAAACAAGCTAACTCTCATCAGTGAGGTTAGTCGAGCATCTCTGGTTTATCTTACTCTTTGATATCATCTTCAACCAAGGAGATTATATGACTTAATGACATAAAATTTGATGCAAACAGCTATCAGGAGCGAATGTTAAATTGATGGAAGATAGACCGGAGGTAACGGAGAAGATCATTCAAATATCAGGTACTCCAGAGCAAGCTGAGAGAGCTCAGAGCTTGCTGCAAGGATTTATTTTGAGCAGTAAGTCCCTTCCTCTCCCCCACCCCCCAATTACCCTTTCTCACCTCTCTCTCTCTTGGCATGTCTGGTCCTATGCACTAAGGGTGCGTTTGGCACGCAGAATTAGATCATATACAAATAACCTTCTGTACTCTACCTACTGGTAAGGGTATTATAGTGGATTAAGGCGGATGGTTTCAAAAGAATGTCATTTATCATTTCTTTTCTGTCCTAAACAAAATGACATTTCTTTTCTGGCCTAAAGTATCTCCAACATCTGCATTATGTTATCCTGTGTGCCAAATGCAGCATAAATGTATACCAGACATCGTATGCCTACATTTTTGTCAATTATGTGATACTGTATCTACTTATTCAGCCGAGGAAGATGGCCCTTAGATGTCATCAAGCATGCACGACTATATTGAAGAGGCAACAAGATTTTCATCAGTAACCTGAGTTTTCCATTTCTAGCCCTTCAGATTATTGTTCTGCTCCATTACCCAAGCAGTGGGGCCGCCTGCCTTCCCGTACAAGAAGGCTTACTAGCCAAGAATGTACAAATCGAAAATCACTTGTTATTTAAGGGTAATGCCAAGAACTCTCTATGTTTATATGGTGCAGTGTACTGAGTTTTCTGGATAGATCCTAGGATGGATTTGTATTTCACTCAATACATGCTTTGTCATTGTTCTGATGTTTGTTTACAAAATCATTTTGAGAGAAATGGCTTATGTAAAGTGGATCAGTTTGAAGCTTAGCAAAGAGATTCTTGTTTTGCAATTGCTCAAAAACAAATAACAAATGGTTCCTGGTGACCTCTGGTTGGAACAAAATTCTTTCATCGTTTGGTTGCTCAGCTGCAGATGCCTAGAATAATCCATTTCAAATCTCCTCGACTATGTGATAGATGCTGCAGGGGATTTGGACATAGCTCCACTCTTTAGCCATATCCAAATATTGCGAGATGAGGAAGGGGGTTCAACACAGGACATTAGCTGAGAACCCTAGCCGACTGTCTTTTAGGCCATCCATTATTGCTTGGCATTGTCAACCTATACCTAATCCTGCCAGGTACTTGGCTTTACCTTCACCTTCTGCTCGTTTTATCTGGTTGTGTTTTTCAACCTCTGCTCTCTCATTGCTACTAGTCCAAGTCTTGAAGCTGGAAATGCTCATAAGATGAGTAATTTCATATGCATTTACAGGAAGTTAATGAGACATGCTAGCAAAATTACAAAAAAATGGGTTTAATTTTTCCATAGATGCACAAAGTTTCCTAGTGTATCAACAAGTAATCTTGCTATCCAGAAGAGCCTTCTGGGCTGTTGTTTATGTGGAAACAATAATGACGTGTTCAGTAAATGGACTCGATAGTTTTAAAAGAAATTAACAATAAAATCTTACGGAGTGTGAACTTTGTATATTTGTTTCTGATTTCGATTTACTTATTATTTCTTCATAATTGGGATTATATCTGAATTCCTAATAGTTTTGTGTGAATTAACGAACCGGGAATTATTTAAAATTTTCATTCTGGTAGAAGCAACGGACAAGAACAAAGAATATAGCACAAGAGATATGCAGCAAACGACAGAAGAGGGAGTAGGCACCTCATATTACAGTTTATACATGCTTAATTTCAATTAATAGTGTGACAGATTATGGTATGGAGAGGCTCAAAATCGAAAAATTTGACTCGAATCAACCTAGTGCAGTAATCACGAGGGATGACAGCATGTTCTGCTCGTGGGGAAAAAAATATGCATCTTGTGTGCTGCACGAGGACAAATTAAGCTATTTATGTTTAGTACCAAATTGTATAGGAATTGTTGGGATTGACTCGAATTATTGAAATAAAGAGAAGGATAATAAAGTGAAATATCATAAAAGTTGAATGGCCAATGATAATTTGATTGAATATTGGGACTTAAGTGTAATATTTGCCATAATATATATAACATAGATTTTAGGCTCCTGCATGGCAGCATTGTGAAAAGTTAACAGTTACAATTCTGCTAAAAGCATTGTGAAAATGGAAGGTGAAAACTGAAGCCTGGAAAAGAATATATAACTCTACAGTGCGATTCAAGGAAAAAAAATTGGTAAATCTCAATGCTGAGAAGTGTGATCGCTTTTCATTTCTCATTTCTGTTCCCGTAATTAATATTCATCCAAATAAGTGTATAAAGTCTCGTCTTTCTTCGACTTGCGTCGACTGAGCAATGCCTTCAGAAGGCGTTTACTTTTGCTTGGAAATTGTTCTATATCTTTCGGGTTTTCTTTCTCAACACGAGAGCACATTGAAGCCGTTTTTCGAGGTTCTGAAATGTACTGTCAAGAGAAACAGAAAACGTAAATTGAAGAGAATGATAAAAGAAGTTCATTGAAAGAGAAGAATACCTGTTGTCTTCCAAAAGAGGGGTTTGGAGTGGTTGCCCGACTCCGATTTGGGGTTGTTGGCCGCGAACTTTTTGGTGTGTTTGGCTTACTAGAGTAGGATCCCGAACGCAAAAGGGGAAAGCGGAATGGTGAGACTGTTCGTTTTTCTGATGTATCAACGCAAAGAGCAGAAAAATCATATTCACAAGAATCGTTATACAATTGAAAGAGCGGAAAATGTGAAAATTGTAGGGTTAAAGAAGACAACAGTTTCAATACGAAAACAGTGGCCGGAACAAACCTGTATCTTTTCTCGTGACGGTACCAGAGAATGAAAAGTTTCCAGGTTGCTGAGCAAGTCGTGGAGATGGGGAAGGAGACCATCCTTTACTGTGAGTTGACCAACATAAACATCTTCGTTACCTCATAATTTAAGAGGTGATATAAGATGAATTTCAGTGCATGACAATCGAACTTACATGACTACCGATGATGGAGCATCTCCAATTGTAGCTCGAATAGCTGCAATAGAATTAGCTCATAAGATATACAAGTTATGCACGACGACAATTCAAAGCCCGAGTTCCAAAAAACTTTTAAGGTCAGTAGTGAAGATACAGCAAATAGTGAATTACCATTCTTTAACTGATGCCAGTCATCATCATCATCTAGGTTGCATCCTTGGAACTTCAACTTAGTACGGATCGCACCATGCATGGTCTCCCCCACTAAACAGAAAAATCGAAACACTTCTTGATAAGTGAACACCAAAATCTCTATCACATAAAATGAAAAACATCATGAAAGAAGCATAAAAACAGCAAAATTATCCACAAAACATCGTAGTTCAGTGAAATTGCCTGGCAAGATGTACCGTTTATGGTACTTGGGAGCATTTATCACTAGTGACTGCTGAGAAAGGCCTCCACGATCAGTATACTCCTGGCACGTCCTTAGCCTCTAAGGAAAACCACAATTCAATAATCAATACGAAATTAACTTTCTCCCATCGAGTCTGGCGAGTCCTCAGAAAAAAAAAATGTAAACATCGCCAACGTCATACTAATATCACGTTCAGCTATGCTTAAGAATTAAAAGTTACTTGTTAAGTAACTTTTTAGTTTTCAAATATGTTTGGGTAAGTTACCTGCTCGATACATGATAAACGGAGCTTTGTTCTGGCAACTTCATCAACCTTCTCATCCAACAAATCATTCACCTTACAGGACACAGAGACCAAATGGTCTACAGTATTCACAAGAGCTTTAATGGCATAATCCTTCAATGTATTCACCACTCTGTACGTTCAAGAATTCTTTTAGATAACAAAAGTCAATACAAAATTCTCTTCCAGTAAACGATTTGACCACAGCCGGTAAAACGAAATTCTTCAAATACAACTCACATATGGTTTTGGTCATCGCTGATATAAGAAAACTCGAAATAGTCTGCAGCTGAGTAGAGTTGTTTCCTAATATTTCTCAAATCCTGAACAAACAAATGCAATATGAGAAAATTCGAAACTGCATTTAGGAGGGTCAAAAAGCAAAATTGTTCAAATATATGCTTCGTTAAAAGCAAAGCTGAAATGTTATGATTTTCTATGATAATTGCAATAAGATGCAACGCGAGAGCAACCAGTTACGTGCACCACTTGTCATATTCAAGTTCTTCTTTTCTTTAGATTTTGTTTTCTTAGTCTTACTTAGGTCACGGTGCACCGACATGGACACGTTCGACACGACACATTTTGGATAAGTCGAGACATGAGTTTTTAAAAAAGTATTAATACGAAATACCTCAAGGCTATATATAAGTAAAGAATATAAAATACCTCAAGGCTATCGGAGAAGAGCATGCTCTGTTGCATAGAAATCTCATCATAACTGGCTGGCTCCCAAGGGAAGGACATTGTAGCAGTTGAAGTAATTGTCTCCATGAAAGAGTAACCAAGTGGTAGCTAGAAAGTCCTTATCCTGTAACAACCATTCCTGTCTACATTAAAACCTGTTTCTGATCTTAAGATAGTTATGAACTTTGGCACTCCTCTTAGGTGGCATGTCTGTGTTCCACGCATTTGACACAAACCGCGGGGCGTATCCAACTTTTTAAATATTCTATTTCAAATTTTAACACGCCATGGGCACTTTTCCGGTGCTTGTTGGATACGCCAAGTGGCGTGTCCAGTATTCTAGCACTAAAAATGAACAGAACGTCCGACAATAAATTAACATCACGATAAACAGAAGCTAGCGTAACCAAGTTTACAGCACACACCCCACCAAGATAATTATTTCCATAGCTTCATCAACTTCCTAGTCGATCTCAAATTTATTAAGAACAAAACGTAATTTGCTCCAGCCGGAACCTTCAGAACTACAAGAATCTTTAGTTAAAATGGGATTCTAACTCAGCACCTTTGGAGTGAGATTTTAAGAAGATTTGATCTCCGATGAACTCGAGCTCGACAAGATGAAAGTCGTAAACTGAGTTCGGGGGAGTTACTGTCTATATTTAGCCTTCAAGATTTCTCTACTTCTTCGGAGTAGCAAAAACAATAAATTTATAGAAACTAAATTCCAAAAAGCCACTCTTGTCCAGTACACTCCCATTGTTCACGACACAAGTATATTCCAACATGAAGTAGTATAAATCTCAGTAGCCAAAAACACGTGAAAATGGTTGCAATTTTGCATTCAAAATCCAAACGACAACAAAAAATAATAAATAATAAATTAATTAATAAGTCAAAGAAATTAATCAAGAACTCACCTTAACTTCTAAATTCTGAGCCTTCTCCAACTTTCCGGGCAATCAAAGAAAAATCCACAAGCAAAAACGCTACATAATTTCTCCTTTTTGTAGTGATATAGGAAGTATAGACCGGGCACCCACTTTCACATTCAACTTTGATCACAGAATGTGGCTTTGAAGAAAGGCAAAAGGAAACATATACAGGCCCATTTATTGACAGAGACTAATGTTGTTTGGTACAAAGATTTTGACTAAACAAAAGAAAAACGACAAGTTTTTTGGGTCGTTTTGTGGGGTATTTGAGGTTGACGGACTAAGCAATTTGCAGAAGAGGGGAAATGGAAGCAGAAAAGGCACGAATTGAATTGGCATTGAGGCAAGAGTGTGTACAAATTCAGAGGCAAATGAAGCATTTTAGGTGAGAGTGCACTTCTTGGAGCCAATAACTCTTGTCTAATCAATTGCCTCTTTAGCGGGTCCCCAGCATTGGGGTTAATTCTGAGACTTATTTGTTTTGGTCTTTTTTCAACTCATATTTGTAATTTTAGACCTTCCCTATCATTTTCAAAATATATTTTTCTTAAAAAAATTTTCAACTACACATCTTTCAATAAAATAATATTAAATGCAAACTCAAAATTTTTCCTTATTTTTTAATTACACATCCTCCATCAATCACTTTTCAAAAATGCAATATTTGCCAAATAATAGGCCTCAAACAAGAGCTTAAGTGATTGATGGAGAATGTGTAATTACATACTAGGTGCAAGCAACGTGCAATGCACGTTTGCATAGTTTATATTTAGTAGTTTTGTTTAAGAATTAATTTGTTATTAATAAAGATGTAATTTTTTTGGTTAATTAAATAATTAATGATGTAATGTTTATGTAATTGATAAATAATTAGATGTGTGATTTTGATGTTGTGATGTAAGTTGGTGAGATCGAAGAAAATAAGCAAAAGTTGACAAATTTGGAGAAATGACTAAATTGTAAGGGATCCAAAGTTCGGGGACTAAAATGTAAATACTTAAAATTGTGCCAAACCTCACGATGAAGACTTGAGATTTCTCGGAGTCAATTGGATAAAGGAAGACGTCAATGGAATCAAATTTAGGCAAAAGATGATCACAAATCAATTTCCAACCGAAAAGTTATGCTCCGATGTTTTAGTCTCATATTGAGACCTATTTTTGGCATAGAAAGTGATCGAATTGGAGAATGATGTCTGAATCAAAGTTGTAGCCAGATGAGTTAGCTTTCCAACGCATTTTGAATCGCCTCAATCGGATATCCGAATACAAAATTATGATAAAAATACTGAAAGAAGGTGCAGCTGCCTGTTTAAAATAAGAAATTCCGTTACATAGTTCGTTAAAACAACAAATTCCGTTAGTTTTTTCGTTAAAAACAAGAAATTCCGTTACATAACCACTTTTAATACATAGAAGATATATATATTCTAAAAGGGGGTTGCAAATGGATTTGTCAATTCATCAATCATTGATTACCTCAGATTTTATATATTTCTAGTGATTCACATTATATCATCAACTGATACAGCTATTCGATAAAAATCTACAACGTACTAAAACGTCTCGACGAACTGAAACATCCTAGAAACCAGAGGAAAAGAAAGGATTTCCGCAATCAACCTCTATAGTAGAAATCAATCGAGGGTTGAAAGACGATGATTTATTGTGATACCAATGTCAATAGTTTAAGTCCACTTATCTCCAAACTTTTACATTTTCATAATTGTTTGCAGCACATAATTGATAATCCTATTTGAGTCAGCCAGTTTTATTTTTTTATTTTTCCTTGATTTTTCATTTTATTCGATCACTTAGTTAACTTTAAAAAATTGAATAAAAATATAATTTTTTTAAATGCGTTCTTTGTTCTAAAATAGAAAAAAAAAATAAAAAAAATCATACTGTAAAATAGTCTCTAACCTCTAGCACGCTGAAAGTTTTCAAATTCGGACTGCACACCGGTCTAGGAGCTAGATGCGTGGCTATGAACTTAAATTGGAACCTTCATTGGACTTGTTCACTCCATACGATTTTTTCTAATAAATCAATGACTCGATATCTAAAGAAACTAGCTTGAAAATGGACTAAATATACTACTTAAGGTTCTCGTTGGACGAAAGAGTTGTTGAAGCTTTTTGCGATCACGCAACTTTTAGTTTATTAAATTTGACCCAATTTTTTTTGAAAAGGCAAAAACCGAGTAGCTAAAAACTATAAAATCAGATTGATGAATTCATTTATACTTGACTACCTAAAATATGGATTAATAGCAGAAACCTCTTTAGAAATGATTCCATATGCGATATATTCCCCTACTTGTTGGAAATCGCATAAACTCCTCCGTTTGAAAAATTGTGCGAAAAACATCATGTTGTCAACATCCGTCAAATTTGCCTTTAAAAATAGTAAAAAAAATGTCAAACTTAAAAATGAGTAATTACAATTTCAATATCCAAACTTATTATTTTTTAAAAATTAAATTCAAAATTTTCATATGGCAACCTACAATCCCAAAGTTTTAAAATTTTATTTTCCACCCCACCCCTATTTCACGTCATCTTCTTTCCCAAGACCTCAATGGAGACACCACCCAAACGCCAGTCTTTACACTTGAAAAAGAAAGCCTCCAGGTAATTTGCTTTCTTCGGGGTTTGGGGATTGTGAATGGATTTCACCTTTTCCGGTTGTTCTAAGAAGGCAATAAGATTATGGTAGATTTGGGTCATCCCTATAAGGGAAGATCACACAAATCAAGCGAATGACAATAAATCAGACAAATAGCCGAAGATAATGCTTGTACAGCCAACAAATCAGAGCACATTTATTCTATGCAAATCACAGCCTTATTCTTAGCTAGTGTCCTAGAATAGAATTTATAATTCCTGTATTTAAATGTACACGACTACCATGTAAAGGAGTGGAGAAGAGTTTGTCATTTCATTTTCTGAATAAAGATATTGTTCTTATTCAATCCTCATCATGGTATCAGAGTAGCCATCCTCTCACGAGAATTCGATCCCCACCTCTCCCAAACCCACCCACAACCCATCTTCCCCAACAGATACTCCCTTGATTGCCCTTAATATTTCCACCCAAATCAATGACAAACTCACCCCCTCCACATTCCCACAGTGCCGTGCCCAATTTGAAGCTCTTCTAATTAGGTACAATCTCCTCGACTATGTCACTGGAGATAAACCTTGCCCCCACCAAGCCAATACCCCCACATCATCTCTCCAGAAAACACACTAGGTAAGGCAGCATAAGCTGACTCTGAGTCCTCTCAAGAAGCCTGGGAAACACTTCATACTCTCTATGCCAGTAAATCCCAGACTAGGGCAATGCAACTCAAAGAAGAACTCACTCTGATAAAAAGGGGCAACCAAACAATTCAAAAATACCTGCATGTCGTGAAGTCACTTGCGGATGAAATCACTGTCATTGATCATCACATCTCTGATGATGACCTCACCTTATACATTCTCAATGGACTGGGTTCCAATTATCGTGAAATAGCAGCACTGATTAGAGCGAGAGAAAAATCTCTCACCTTTGAGGAGCTCCATGATCTACTCGTGGGTCATAAGGCATACTTCTGTCGCCTTGAAGCCTCCACGCAGCAACTGCTCACCACAGCTAATTACACGAACCGACGCTCTGGTTTGTCTTCCTCAAATGGAACCAACAGAAACTTTTTTAGGAGTTTCACTGAGCAACAAGCCTCTAACGGCTCTTCGGCCCAATCACGCTCAAATAATGACCCACGTGATAACAAAAGGAACCAACACATAGGCCGGTCAAATGGGCATCGTAAGTTCCAGCCCAAATGTCAAATTTGTGACCAGCAGGGCCACATTGCAAAACATTGTCCAAGAGTGACATTTTCTGAAGTTACTGCAAACTATGTCTCCAGTTCTCAAAAGCAAGACACCAAGTGGCTCATTGACTCTGCGGCATCCCATAATATTACGGGTGACCTAGCAAATCTATCGGTACACTCGGAATATGACGGGACGAATGAAGTGGTAATAGGAGACGGTTCAGGTTTGTGTGTCTCACACATCGGCTCTTTGGCTTTTTGATCACCAACACACACTTTTTACTTAAATGATACACTTCGTGTTCCAAGTATTCGTAAAAATTTAATTTTTGTTCACCATTTTACCACTCAAAACAATGTTTTCCTGGAATTTCATCCCTCTTATTTTCTTGTCAAGGATCAGATCACAGGGGCGACTATACTCAAAGGTGTATGTGAAAACGGTGTTTATACTCTCTCGGACTTATTGGTGAATTCCACTTCCAAAATGGTTGCAAATGTGCACGAGAGGACATCGATTGATGGGTGGCACAAGAGACTTGGACATCCATCACAAAAAATTGTCCATCACCTTATCAAAACTTTTTCTCTTCCAATAAAAAAAGACCAAGTGTCTCAAATTTGTACTTCTTGTTCTATGAATAAAGCACATCAACAACCATTTCGTTCAAATAGTTTAACGAGCAACGCACCTCTTGATATCATTTACACTGATGTTTGGGGTCCCTCACATACAATTGGTATTGATGGTTTTAAATATTACTTGATTCTTGTTGATCACTTTACCAAATATATGTGGTCTTATCCCTTGACAAACAAATCTGGGGTAAGCACTATTTTTCCACAATTTAAACATCTTGTTGAAAACCGTTTTCAACAAAAAATCAAATATCTTTACTCCGACAATGGTGGAGAGTTTGTGGCGGTCAAAAAATATTTTTCAATCCACGGGATTAGCCACTATACGATGGCCCCCCATATCCCTCAACAAAATGGGGTTTCCGAACGTCGTCATAGACATCTTGTTGAAACGGGTCTAACACTGTTACAAGATGCCTCTCTACCTCCATCTTATTGGCCTTATGCTTTCCAAACAGCTGTTTACCTCATTAACCGACAACCAACACCTTTGTTGAACAATACGTCACCATTTCAAGCCTTATTTCAACAAAATCCGAATTATCTCAAGTTAAGAAAGTTTGGCTGTCTATGTTTCCCTCTAACTTGGCCCTACAACTCAAATAAGCTTCAGCCCAAGTCCATCCCGTGTCTGTTTGTGGGCTACTCTCAAACCCAAAATGCATATAAGTGTCTCGACCTCTCCACAAAACGCAAGTATCTGTCACGGCACGTCCTCTTTGACGAAACTAGAAGCCCCATAGAGAACCCAGTGCGCAGCACGCCGCCTAAGTCTCCTGCTCTGCCCATCCCGATGCCAACTCTGCCACGACCACCACCAGTGCAGTCCGATAGCACGCCATCTTTCGCTGCACCCTCAGGTATTTCCCCTACTTTCTCCTCTCATACTTTTCCTAATTTTAATTCCATTTCTCCAATCGCACCACAGGAGTCATACATGAATGAGTCAACTCACTTCATGGTCTCACCTACTACAGATACTCACGACCCAAATGCTGAAATCCATGACCCCGTAACCAATAACCCACTCGTTGTACCAACTCGAACCCATACCATGACCACACGCTCCATGAACAACATCCACAAGCCCAAGCAATTTCACTCAGCCACAACACACTCCATTCCACCAACTATTGAGCCAACTTGTGTGAAACATGCACTCAGTGACCCGAAATGGAGGACTGCAATGTCTGAAGAACTCACGGCATTGATGAGACATGGTACATGGGAACTAGTTCCCCCACCCACACACTGTAAGCCAGTGGGTTGTAAATGGGTATTTCGTGTGAAGAGAAAATCTGATGGGTCTATTGTTCGCTTCAAAGCGAAACTCGTTGAACAAGGGTACAACCAACACCCAGGTTTGGACTTCAAGGAGACCTTTAGTCCCGTTGTGAAACCTGCAACAATAAGGACTGTCTTGACTATTGATTCATGCAAGGGTGGATTCTAAGACAACTCGACGTTAATAATGCATTTTTACATGAACAGTTGACTGAAGATGTTTACATACCTCCGGGATTCAAAGATGTGAACAAGCCAAACCATGTATGCCGCCTACACAAGGTCATTTATGGTCTAAAACAGGCACCAAGAGCCTGGTATTCAGCTCTAAGGCAAACTATTACGGAGCTTGGGTTTGTCAATTCAAAAGCTAATTCTTCACTCTTCATATATAAAACCAGCTCTGTCACATGTTTTTTGCTAGTGTATGTCGATGACTTGGTCCTAACCGGCAGTGACAATCACTTTGTAGCCTCTATAATTGAAAAACTTGGCAATTTCTTCTCTCTAAAAGACATGGGACAACTCCATTTCTTTTTAGGAATGGAAGTCATACCTACAAAATCTGGCCTTTTCTTGTCTCAACATAAATACATTAGAGAAGTTTTGTCCAAACACAATATGCTGGGTGCAAAAGATGTGTCAACACCATCATCCACCACCACAGCCCTCAAACTTATTGATGGAACAAGCTCAGTGGACAGCACCGAATTCAGGAGTGTCATAGGTGCTCTTCAATACTTATCTCTTACAAGACCAGATATTTCGTTTGCAGTGAATAAACTATCTCAGTTCATGCATAAACCCACTGCAACTCATTGGACAGCTACAAAAAGGTTCATACGTTATTTGAAACAAACGATTTTCCGTGGGATTCACATAAAAAAAAAACCAGCAATTCAACTCTTACAACCTACACGGATGCTGATTGGGCAGGTAACTTTGAGGATAGAACTTCAACCTCTGCCTACATAAGTTTCCTTGGCCCAAATCCAATTTCTTGGAGCTCCAAAAAAGAAAGGGCAGTTGCTAGATCATCCACCGAGGCCGAGTATCGGGCTCTTGCGAATGCAGCTTCAGAAACAATCTGGCTACTTGCATTATTTCAAGAACTCGGGTTCCCAATATCCTCAACACCAAAGCTGCTTTGTGACAACTTGGGAGCAACACAATTGAGCTCTAATCCTGTTCAGCACTCTCGCATGAAGCACATACAGATTGACCTACATTTTGTGTGTGATATGGTTCAAAAAGGAATCCTACAAGTTCATCACGTCAATATACAGGACCAGCTTGCAGATCTTCTAACAAAACCAATGTCAAGGCAACGAACGGAACAACTCAGAAACAAGATAGGACTTGCTGATGGCAGCCCCATCTTGCAGGGGCGTATATGGAAAGATCACACAAATCAAGCAAATGACAATAAATCAAACAAATAGCCGAAGATAATGCTTGTACAGCCAACAAATCACAGCACATTTATTCTCTGCCTTATATTACAGCCTTATTCTTAGCTAGTGTCCTAGAATAGAATTTATAATTCCTATATTTAAATGTACACGACTACCATGTAAAGGAGTGGAGAAGAGTTTGTCATTTCATTTTCTGAATAAAGTTATTGTTCTTATTCAATCCTCATCAATCCCCATTTCGATATCGAGTCGGCCAATGAGATCTTTCATGTTTTTAATATAGCATAAACAAGAATGCGGACATTACATGAGTCCATACAAATATACCTCACGATAATGGCAATCTATATGAGAAACAAAATTAAGCACAAAAAACATATTATTCTAGAAAATCAAGATGAATGGATATAAAACCCTCTGAATGGGAAATAATTTCCACTTCAACAAGGATTTGGCTATCAAAACCACTGAAGAAAATGCCTTGGTTATGTCTCGTTAGCAATGTTGTTGGAGAACTAGTTTAGACCCTCATAAAGCCCCTCCCCAGAGGTTGCACTTGTGCTCTGGATATACCAATGACGTTGACGAAGGGAGTAAAGTCCAAGCTTGTCAGTTACATCACTCCCTTCTTAGAACAAGCAGAAAAGGTGAAACCCCTTCACAATCCCCAAGCCATCAAGAAAACAAATTACTTGGAGGCTTTCTTTTTCAAGTGTAAAGGGTGGCATTTGTGTGGTGTCTCAATTGGGTTTTGGGGGAAGAAGCGAAAGTGCGGAGGTGTAGAAAATAAAGTTTTAAAACTTTGAGATTGTAGGTAACACATATAAAAAATTGGATTTAATTTGTTTTTTACTTTTTAACAGCAAATTTTATTGATGTTGAGAATACGAGGTTTTTCGCACAAAAATGTTTCAAATATAAGGCCATGTTTGATATCTTATATTTTGCATGGAAAATGGAAAATGATTTCCATTTCCACTTGTTTAGCTTGTTTGATGACCACTTTTTTCTAGGCAACTTGTTTTCCTTCCATAACTCTAACGCGCCTCAATTCTTTGTTTTTTGGTGGGAAAAGGGAATTCCATCTTTTTAATTTTTTTATTTGCTAATGGAAACAAATTTCATAACCAATTGTAAAAAATAAATTTCACTTTAATGAACAACTTCTATGCAAAAACAAAGTTAAACGAAAATTAAACTTTGATAAAAAAATTATTTTTTCGATTTTTTTTTTTTACTTTTTGATAATGAAAACAAATTTTATAATCAATTGTGAACAAAATTATTACTTTAATAGATAATTTCCATATAAAACAAAATCAAACGAATACAAAATTTTACAATTTTTCAGGTGACAAATTATACCAATCAAATACACTTAATTAACAATTTCCTGAAAATCAATTTATAGGCAATTACTTTCCTTAAAATTCATTTTTTTTCCACTCATTTTTTACCATTGCAATCAAACGGATCCTAAAGTTTTCTGTGATTTTCAATAGGTAGAGTATATCGTAGATAAAAAAAACTTTTTGGTGATTTTTCGCTATTAATCCCTAAAAAAGATCAGAAAAATAAAATTTTATTCATTATAACTCAAGCTCTCCTTAACACCACTCCCTCTCTTCTTGGACCTCTCTTCCAAGCTCCCGTGCGACACTTTTCGGAAAGAAAATGATAAAGTCCGAGACCCAGATCCACCCAAATAAGCTCCATCTAAAATGGTTGTCGGGGAGGGCATATTGGTAATTTTCGCTGCATCATTCAACAATCTTGGAGGAAGGTCTAAGCACCTGCAGGCAGTTTTGTTATTAGGTGGTGGTGGAATAGTGGCGGTGGTTCTGGGCTTTCCCGGTGCCTCCTCCCAGTGAAATGGGATGGAAACTAATGGTTGGAGTGGCGGTGTTTGCACTTCTAGAGGCTCTCTCGGCTTGTATCGAAGTTTAGATAAAGAAAGTTTTGGAGTAGAACCCATTAAGTTTTGCATTATATTTATCTATACGTGTATATATAGTGCAACCCGTTACCCCCCCCCCCCCCCCCC